ATGACCCTCTTGTTCGTTCCTTTTTGGTGCTTCAAGCCATCCCTATATCCCCCATTCATTTTGAAGAAATGATTTTTCCACTTGTTGACAGTATGAGTACAGAGGAGTCTGTAGGAAGTCCTCATGTATGGGAGAATGCAGTCCACACCACGGTACAGTAGGAACATCTCCCTGACCTGGGGGTAAACGACAACACACTATCATTATAGACTCCTCATAATCTATGCATGTACAGAAGCAAGCTACGTATACTGTACCAGCAGCTAAGACAGTAGAAGTCAATCCTTTAGTAGTCAAAATCACAAGGCATCTTTGCTGATAATTTACCTTCTGGTTTTCTTTCAAGTGCTGGTAAAGTTGCTCAAAGACTTTTGCCAGGCAATCAACTGATGGTAGGAAAAGCCAGTGAATGAATCTCATTGGCTGGATGGTGTTTACCTTGAGTCAAGGTTTGTAAGACTACAAGACAGGAGAACATGCGAACATGGATATTGCTGCTGTTGATGAAGAGGTCTGCGGCCTTCTCACCCCTTTCTCCTGCCATCTGTATATACACAGTAGAATAGTATAGTAGATAATGTGTGGCAGTATACCAAACTATTATCTGTGGATCATTACCAAAAATTTTGTTGGTCATGTACACTATATTCACAAAATAATGTTTCCAACAATTTTTTGAAGTCTCTTCCAGTTTTTTCCAATAGAATAGTTAGGGGAGGAGGGTGGCCAGGGAGGGCAGTATCTTCCTCATGGAATTGTAGCACTCTCTCAGTCTCTTCAGTCACATGACCCCAGGAGTTGATGTGATTGGTCTAATGGAGACGGATGCAGCTCGCCCATACATTGGTAACCATGACCTGGGCAGCTGGCTCTCTGAGAGACTGGATATGTACGTTGACTATGGCCCTGGAACAGACACACACACATGGGGGTATGTAGAACCAACTCCTATTCATTTATATCCTGATTTTGATGCTCAAAGTTTTAATTTTTCATACCTATAGGTCCATGGTGCTTTCTAAGTTTCAAGTTTCCTATTGTCCTATTTTATCCCATCCTAATGTAGTTTTGACACACTCTAATTCATCATGCATTTACTGCCGACTGACAAATCATCCACAGGCACACTTGCGCTCATTTTCTGTTTTGAGGACGTTACGTAATTTGTGCGTAAGTGATCACTTGCGCGAGACCTCTCTGCGCATGCGTACACACGTTAAAGTGACGGGGGAAATGGCGACTTGTGCGACTGCAAGTGAAGGTCGAGCCGTAACACCGGCTGCTAAGGACCAGCCTCCCTTTCCCGAGAAAGAATTCGATTTCGTGGAGCGACCCTCGCAGGATTTCTTCTGCCCCGTCTCCTTGGAGCTGCTCCTGGAACCCCAGCAGACGTCATGTTGTGGCAACCATCTCTCCCTGGAGGTGGCCACCAGACTGCGGAGAGAGGGAAAGGCTTGTCCCATGTGTAACGGTGAGCAGTGGAGCGCCATGCCAGACAAGTACCACCGTCGAAAAGTTCACGAGGTTCGCGGGCGTTGCTGGAACAAGGACAGTGGGTGTGAGTGGGTGGGGGAGGTGAACGAGCTGAAACGACACGCATTCTCGTGCGACAAGCGGCCGTGGGAATGCCAGTATTGTGGGCTCAAGTATATCGTTGGGGAGGGAGAGGGAAACCATTGGCCTGACTGCCACAAGTTCCCTGAGCCTTGTCCAAATGGTTGTGAGGTGGGCAGTGTGGAGCGGTGTGGGGTGGAGCAACATCGCAGTGTGTGCCCACTGGAGCCCGTGGCCTGCGAGATGAAGGAGTTTGGGTGTAGTGTCGTGGTCCCGCGCAGGGAGCTGGCGACACACATGAGAGAGAGTGAGCTCCAACACCTGATGGCCATGACTGCTCTCAACCTCCGTCTCACCAGACAACTGCAGCAAGAGTCCGCCGACAGAGACAGGAAAATCGAACGACTACAGCTACAAGTGAGGGAACTCAAAGATGCGCAGAAGAAAGAATTGGTCGAGGTGAAGGATGGCATCCAGAGAGTGCACTGTATCAGCGAGCACATTGAACAGCACACAGCATTATGCACGGGCTACAAGGTCTTGACACTTGGGAATTACAATGACAAGAGAAACGGAGTAAAACCTACTTCCGCATATAGTGACCAATTCTACTCTTGTTTCCCTGGCTATGCATTTCAACTGATGATACGATACTATCTCCTTGACATTGGAGCATTCTTGTACTTAATGAAAGGAGAAAATGATGGCCAGCTCCAGTGGCCGGTGAAGGTAAAATTTCAGCTAGAGCTACTCAATCAGACTGGAGATCACTATCATGTAGGGAGGACCAAGGCATTGGAATGGAAGAAAGATGAAAGAGGCAGTTACAAGATAATTGATAAAGGGTTAATGAAGTACACTGACCTAAAAAAAAACGAAATTGGTGTTCAGTACGTGCTGTATGACTGCCTCAAATTCAGAGTACATATTTCTGTTCTGTCATAGTGATTCTTTGTAGTTGTTGAGATTTGTAAGAGTGGATTGTAAATTGAGACATAAATGCGGAGTCTGTGTTTGTCTGTCTCTGTCTCACAATCTCCTGTACTGCCATCAGCACTTTCTCACTCTCAAACAATCCTCTGATACCTCTGTGTTGAAAAACAATTGACATGACTATAGGGTTTTAAGTTAACAGTGGAACACGTTTATAGGTCCATTTTAGCCCAACAATAATACTATTTTGAGAATTGCATGGTTGGGTTTGTCTGCTACAGTCTAAAGTTACACATTGTGTAGTGGGAAGCTTCACAAAAGTAGTAGTTTAATGTCTGCTTACCCTATTTGGGGGACTGGAAATGAATGGTCTCATGGTAGCTACTATGGAATGTTGAAACCTGCCACAGCTAGTATATAGCTAACGACTATCATTACCTGATCTTTGAGAGTCTCTGCAGAATGATGCTCATCTTCTCGAGGGTGGGAGTGTCCTCTCAGGAGAGAGGCACAGGCTGAGAACCACTGCCTTGTCCCCAGTCTCCCCTCACACTGACACATCACACCTGGGGCCAGGGGGAGTAGATCAGCTTCGAGCTCAAAGAGAACAGTAACAAAATCATGTTACATACAACGACGTATTTCCAGCCTTTTTGAGGGTCCATTTTTGCAGCTCGGTAGCTAGCTGACAGAAAAACGTTTTTGTGAATGACTATAAAGTTATCTGAAGGATGTGTGTATATATAACTTCCTCTACTGTTTTTCATAGCTAGGTAGAGAAGTAGTCAAATTGGCTATAATATGTGTACCGGACTCCATGGATAAGAAGAGGTATATGTTGACAGTATGAGTACAGAGGAGTCTGCAGGAAGTCCTCATGTATGGGAGAATGCAGTCCACACCACGGTACAGAAGGAACATCTCCCTGGCCTGGGGGTAAACGACAACACACTATCATTATAGACTCCTCATAATCTATGCATATACAGAAGCAAGCTATACTGTGCCAGCAGCTAAGACAGTAGAAGTCAACCCTTTTTCTGGGCCTTAGTAAATGGCAGTCAAAATCACATGTAATCTTTGCTGATAATTTACCTTCTGGTTTTCTTTCAAGTCCTCGTAAAGTTGCTCAAAGACTTTTGCCAGGCAATCAACTGGGTGGTAGGAAAAACCAGTGAATGAATCTCATTGGCTGATAAAATGAGTTGATGGTGTTTACCTTGAGTCAAGGTTTGTAAGACGACAAGACAGGAGAGCATGCGAACATGGATGTTGGTGCTGTTGATGAAGAGGTCTGCAGCCTTCTCACCCCTTTCTTCTGCCACCTGTACACAGTAGAATAGTTATAATAGTAGAGCATCAAACTTTGAGGAACCGATTTTTGAATCAACGTACCAATTTTTTCAACTACATAGTAGCTAACACACCATGGGCTTATAGAGGCAGTCTCCAATCCTCCTCAGAGTTGAAGAGAGTGAAGATTTCAACTTGTTGTCGTGTGAGATGTGAATGAGACACCAGATGAGGAACTCCAGGGCTGGCAGCGTGTGATGGGAGGAGAGGGAGGGGAGGAGGGTGGCCAGGGAGGGCAGTAACTTGGAGCTGGTCTGATTGAGTGAGGTCTCCTGGGCTGGGGTGAGGGGTTGGCACAGGTGACCTCTGCCCAACCAGCCCAGTACTGCACCCAACACCTCATAACAAACTCCTTCTGTAGCCTGAGGAACATTGTACAGATCTTGACTAAGGGCAATACAGCAGCAAGTTCTGAAGATGCTGATGAAAGATGCAGGCTTTCAATTTAATGCTGTGAGAAAAAGCTGCAATCACTCCTTGATTGTTCTTACAGAGGTGTGATCTGTCTTTCTCTTGTCAGTCTGGTGAGAGCAGATCAGCTGCTGCTTGAGAGCCTCGACTTCAGCCAGCAGTTGTCTCTGGCCCTCCAGCTGCGTCTGGTGAGAGGTTCCCGCTTCGTCCTCCTTCCTCTGCAAGGCCGTCAGGCGGTTGTGAGACAGAGAGAGCTGAGTCTGTAGCTTGAGCCTCTTCTCTTCTGCTTCTTTCAACTACAGCAATGACAAAGGACAAGTATCATTTCAGTATCTTTAGGGAGCAGTGGTGCAGAATGCCATATTCAAAGTCTATCCAGAAGGTATCTCATACTCACATTAAAAACATACCTCTTTCTTGAGATTTTCGTTGGTTTTCCTCACGGAATTGTAGCACTCTCTCAGTCTCTTCAGCTCCCTGTTCTTCTCCCTCACCTCCCTCCCCAGTCTCTCCAACTCCTCCCTCTGTCCCCCCTCCACCTCTCCCAACCTCCCCTCCACCTCTCTCTCTATACACTCCACCAGACTCTGGTGGGCCTCGCACGCCAGTCGCTCCATCTCAACAACCCTCTCCTCTCTACCACTCAGAAGTTCCCCACGAGAAGTCACCCCCATTTCCCGAGCAGAAATCTCAGTCTCTCTTTCTCTCAACAGCTTTTCTCTCTGTGTCAAATCTTCCTCCCTTGTTCCAAGTTTTTCATGTTCTTTTTTTGCACGTTCTTCTCTCTGCTTCAATTTTTCTTCCCTTGTTTTTATTTCCTCTTCTTTTGCTTTCATTTCGAGTTCTCTGCGTTTTGCTTCATCTTCTCTTCTGCTCATTTCCTCCTCTCTTCTCTGTATTTCCTCCTCCCGTGTCTTCATTTCCTCTTGTCTCTGGCTCATTTCCACCTCTTGCTCCTTCACTTCCTCGTCTCTTTGCACAATTTCCTCTTCTCTAACTGTAATATCTGTAGCCATTTGCCGAATTCGGTCCTCTCTTACAAGTAGTGCTTGCACCTCATCCTGCATTAATAATACACACACACACACACACACACACACTTATCAAAGATCCCAACAACATGCTTACTTTCATATTATCTCTGATGGCAAGAAGTTCAGCACAGACTTGTTGAAGTTCCACTCTATGCTCGCTGCTGTGTGCCTCTTTCTTTCTACCTTCTCTGTCAGTACCTCCACCACTTGTGCTCTCCTGCAGGTATCAGCTAGACCTCGCAGCAGTTACTGTAAGTAGCTATATAGCTAGACTTTGCACAGGCGTTAGGTATAAGAACACACGTCTACCTTATGCATATTATTCAGGTATATAGTACATCTAGTCCATCAAGAAACGCATAAAATATGTAGGAGTATAGAGTATATAAGAACCTGGTCGGTATCAGAGCTGCAGCTATCTCCCAGTTGGTTACTGGTGCTGAAACTGGTGGGTGGTAGGCGCTGAACGCCGCCCTTTGCTGTTTTAGGAGAAGCTAGGACAGCTGCATTGCGACTGCTGCGGACGGAGAGACTCCCGCAGCTGTTGCTGCTGGCCAGAGCGGAGAGAGAGAGGTCGCTGTGAAGGTCCAGGTTGCTCTGCTTCACCCTCTCCTTGACCACCTCCTTCTTCCCGCGCTGCATTTTTCCTCGTGCAGTGTGCGCATGCGTACGTATCACGTGAGAATCAAGGCGCATACATAATTATACGCTGACGTTTTGCAGTTGGGCGGCGAGCCATACACCAGAATGCATATATACATGTATACACATGGGTATGATTGTGCCGAATTATGATATAAATAGGTTCGACTGAATGGTGACAAACACTCCAGAAAAAAAGAGATAAAACGATAATGATCACGACTCGGTTGGTGTCTCGTAAATGGCGTCGTCGTCTTCCCAGTCTCTCCTGAGGACATCATAGACTGCTGCAGAGTTCAGAGGAGCTGCTGGCGTTGGGACCCCCCCAAACTCCACCTCCTCATAGTCTGCTGGCTCTCTAATAGCCGGTAGAGACTGCTGCTCGGGCAGGAGAAAGCATCAAGTGAAAACGTAATCTTTTTTGTCCATTTCCCTTGCCTTTTTTCTATACGCTTATACATAAAATAGTTTTACAGTATGGTTTACTGCACAAGTAATTTTTTACTTGGATGTATATATGTTTTCTATATACCTGTTCATCAGGTATTGAGGAGGGTGTGGGGGGTAGCAGGAGGTGGTGAGGAGTGGGAGGAGAGGAGGGAGGAGAGGAGGAGGTGGAGGGTTTACCATTGGCCAGCTCAGCTCGCCACTGCTGGGCCTGTGCCCTCACTGACAGGAGGTCGCTATAGACTGCACAGAAAAGATACCATCAGTGATACAGATGCACAGTGACATTGTTGCAACCCTCCAACCATAGTTAGATCTAATACGTATGGTTGGTTTCAATTTTCCTTTACTCATGTGCGTACAAAACCGTTCACAGTCCCAGTTTCAAGGAGTGCAAAGGGAGAAGGAGAGGGACAGCAGAGGCAAGGCAGGGGTCAGTAGTAATACACGTGTTAACTCACTCTCGTCCACGTCATCTCTGTTGTGAGGAACTGGGACAATCTCCTCCCTCACTGCCCCGCCCATCTCCTGATGAGTCACAGGGGGTGTGGTCTGGGAACACAACAACAATAATCAAAGACTTTGTACACTTTTGGGGGTAACCTAATAATGCTGTTAACGTGATTAATACTGATGTAGCACCAATAATCTTAGAGCGTGCATTTATTGCAGTTTTCATGGTGTTGGAAGTTGATCTGTGAAAACTACAAAATCTGCCTATGCTGCTATGCCAATGCATGAAAGCTTATGAAATGGAGAATGTGGAATGGAAGCATGCAGGAATATGGAATGAAGTATGAGGGAATGGGGGTGTGCTCCCTCTCACCATGTCTCCCAGGATAGACTCTATGTGGAAGTCGACGAGTGCGTTCATCCACCGTCCCTGGGGGGTCTTCAGGGGGTAGGTCCTGTCGTCAAACTCCAGAATGAATGTGTTCTCTGTGTATCCCCAGTTCTTCAGAACCTTATACGGCCATACGTCCAGAATCTGGTTCCAAGATTTAGACCAGGTTAAAAGTTAGAGTTTGTAGAGCTATAGATCGCTTGATGAGACATTTATAGCAAGATAGAGCAAGTTAGAGAAGTTAGACAATTATAAAAGAGCTAGGAAAGGAAGACTTTTTAGAAATTTAGAGCAGGTTAGAAGACAGGCTTTAAAAGCAAGTTATAAGTTAGAGACTTGGGAAAAGTTTTAAGAGAGTGTTTGTAAAGATTGTGAATTACCTCTTTCGTCTTGAAGTCAGCTCTGATCGCTCCGTCTTTGCCTATTCCAATCAGAACGGGGCCAAGCTTGGTGTTCTGTATGCGAAGTATCTTCCTCTTCGCCTCCTTTTGGTCATGAGCGCGTGTGTGGAAACAAACACATTATGTACATACACACCCACTCATTCAGCCATAACACACTCGGAGGGTAATCCAAGCTTATTTACACAGGCACGTTTGAAGGTAAAGAGACTATGGGTGGGTGGGTGGGTACACTATATATTTTAGACAACCCTGTACGTATGTATGTACATCTGTAATTGTGACAAAGAAGTGCTCATATTTCCAGTGGTGCAAAAAGAGAAAAAAAATCCGCACCTGGCTGGGCTCGAACCAGCAACCTTTCGGTTAACAGCCGAACGCGCTAACCGATTGCGCCACAAGTGCTTGTCTGCATGGCTGCAGCTCAAAAACTACTGAACATACGAACAGACCTGGCAATGGAAGAAGACGGTGTTGTAGGCGGGTGAGGCACAGGTAGTGGAGATGTACGAGTCCTGGGCCTGGAGGCGTGTGTAGCCCTTCAACTTCTGGTGCTCGGCATAGATCTTCTCCTCCGCTCCCTTCACACTGGCATAGTTGAGTGGTAGGAAGTCTGAGGAACTGGAGAAGGGAGAGAGGAGGGAGGATTGTGTGCGTTTCGTGTTCGGTGGTCCATTTCTGTTGGAGACTG